TTTTAAAATAAGTTTAAAAAAAATTATAATCTGCTTTTATTCTAGCCGAAATAAAACAACAAAGACTTTCTCCAGAAGAAAAAATATTATCAGACATACTGTGAAAACTTCCTTGCTTTGTTAAACATCATTTGGGAAACATTTAAAAAAGAAAAAAAAGTTCAAATAATAATAATAATTCTAACTTCAGCTGTATATTCCGCTGATGTACACACATACTTGTATGTGCATGCTCTCCGGAAAAGCAGCGTGCCGACGTTTCATAACAGGACATTTCTATGTAGTATACTTATGTTCACATTCAATAAAATGGTTATTTTATTGTCTTTTTTTATCAATAAAATTTGAGTTAAATTTAAAAAGTCAAATATAATTACTTTGTATCATTTATTAACAAAGAAATAATTCCTACAAAGTATAAAAAAATATTTCAGTCATGGTTTTTCAGCCAAGTGCATCAAAGTTTCCGCCATAATTTTGATTTCGGTGCATCCCTAATTCACAGTCTCCGTGTCTTCAGTCTGTTAGCATGAGTCTTGCATCACACTTTAAAGTGCACATTAAATCAACATTTACACTTTTTTGCATTTTTAATGCAAATCTGCTCACCTGCTTCAGCTCTGAAACAGCTGTCCTACTCTGATTTCTCTGATTGGCTGAAATATACTTAGCCACGCCCCTCTAACTGAGGTAGTTTGCTGCAAGTGAAAGAAGAGAGGCGGAGTTTAAAAACTGCTTTAGCCCGTTCCCTACGCGATACACTATATACTACTTAAAAATCAACATTTTGGTTGGAAATACATCATACTGCAATTGCAGCAACTTTCAAATCATGCAGACTTTAAAAATGCATGTTAATAAAAATATATATTTTTCTTCAACTCTGTTTACAGTTGTTGTTGTTTAAAAAGGTGTGCTGTTACATATTAATACTGGTGTCATTTAATATAACTGTTTTCTGTAACTGTATATAAAAATGTACTTTTATTTCTGTGATGTAAAGCTGAATTTTCAGCATCACTATTGCAGTCTTCAGTGTCTCATGATCCTTTATATTAAACAGCACAACTGTTTTCCATAATAATAATAAATAAATAAAAATGTGTTGATCCTCAAATCACATTATACTGATTTCTGAAAGATCATTTGACATGGAAGACTGGAGTACAAAACTTTTATTTATTTTTTTTATTTAAAAATATTCTACTTTCTGCATTTTGATCTGCTTTGTGAACAAACTACCTTTTATACAAAATATTTTCATTGGATCACCTGAGAATTGTAGTAATAATGGTGAATATTCAGCTCTACATCATGGCTATAGATGACATTTTACAGCATATTCACATAAACAACTTGTTTTAATTAATTGCAAAATTGTTGGGGTTTTTTTCTGTATTTTTATCTGCTTTGAGCATAATTTACTTTTTACGGTATATTTACACTGAAAACAGCTTTTTAAAATTGAAAATATATTTACTATTTTCACAGTTTTTATCAGATTTTCCCTATATTTTTATATATAAAAATAGTTTTGATTTGGATCACCTTAGAATTGAAGTAATAATGACTATTATATAACGGCTATAGATTAAATTTTTTACAGAATGTTCACATGAAAAACAGCTTTTTTTTAATTGGTAAAAACATCCCTTTTTTTCTGTTTTTAATCGGATCATTCCTATTTTATTAATATAAAAGTAGCTTCGATTAGATCACCTGAGAATTAGAGTAATAATGTTGATTATTCAGCTTTACTTCATGGCTATAAATTACATTTTGTGGTATAACCACATTGAAAACTGCTTTTTTATTTGTAAATATTTTATTTTATTTTATTTTTTTTACTGTGTTTTAATCTGATTTTTTCCTATTTTGTTTATATAAAAATAATTTGGATTAGGTCACCTGAAAGTTAAAGTAATGATGCTGAAAATACTTCATGGCTGTAAATTACATTTTACAGTATTTTTGCTTGGGAAAACGGCTTTTTTAATTATGAAAATATTTACTATTTTCATTAGATTTTCCCTATTTTTTAATATAAAAATAGTTTTGATTGCATCATCTGAGAATTGAAGTAATAATGCTGAATATTCAGCTCTATATCATGACTATCAATAACATTTTACAGTATAATCGCATAGAAAATGAAAATATTTACGAATAATAAGCTACCTTTATACAAAACAACTTTAACTGGATCACCGTACTGCGATCAGAGATTAGTTTGCTCTTTCCTTAACACGTTTTTATCTCTTCACTGCTTCCGCAACTTTACCTGTAATAGACGCTCTGTGTCCAGAAGAAGGAAAACTCTTCACGCAATGCCATCGGTGCGCTTTCACAAACCATGGTATCAGATTTCCTCCTTTACCTTCTGTAAATCTCCATCGTTTCTCAGTATCCGTCTGCATGCGCTGCTCGTCCTCATCATAACACTGCTGTCATTTTAATATATTTCTTATTTTTTTACAGTAACTCCATCTCCAAAGCTCGAGCTCCACTCCTCCGCTGAAAAACAAAAGGAACCGGATGTTTTTTAAGGATCTATAAGTAATATTCAACAAGAAAACTGTGAGAAATCAACATTTTGATTTGATAAAGAGAAAGCATTGAGTTTTTATTAGCTCAGAGCCCTGCGAAGACTTTTTATGCCACTGTAAATATCATGAACATCATAAGCTTACTTTCGCCCTCATGTATTATGTTACTAAACCGGTTTTATTTTTTAATACTGTATCTAATAATTGCGTAAATGTACATGTTTGAATGTTAATCATACTGTTAATCAGAGCTGTAATATTTGATAGACTTGTTTTTTATTATTATTATTACTGTAAATACAGCGTATACTTTTTATTTTGATGATCAAATCATAATTTCACATTTGTGTATGTCTATATGAGATGAAAAGGATTTGAATCATATATCACCTTCAATAAATCCTTTCTCCTGTTGCAGATGTTGTTGTTGAATGAATCTCATTGTATGTTTCAGATTTGTTTTTTGTATTTGAGGTAGACAAAACAGTATTAATTTCTATATTAAATATGGTTCTCCTTATATTTGAAATGCTTAATTGACTAAACTGTTCAGAACTGTTAAAATCCTTATTTTACAGATAATTGTTTACTTCATTGACGTTTAAAACCTACAGCTCTATTTCAACGATCTAGGCGCAAAGTCTAAAGCCTGGTTTATACTTCTGCGTCAAGTGACCAGCGTAACCCACGTGCATGCAACACGCGTAGCTGTGCATTTATACTTCTGTGCGCTGTCTCTGTTTTCTTCCGAAACGCTAGCTGGCAAAGAGGTGTTAATGTTCCTGTGTCAAGTTTCTTCGCTGGTGTTTTGTTTTTTCTGAACACTTCCAGGATGTACAAGTGGCTCAAACTTGCTCATTTTGAGGCAGAAACCGGCGGACAAGCAACAACTTAAACTGTGAGGTAAACACAAAACAAAACTTTCTATCCGTTGGTATTTCCATCCTTCACGGGATTCCACTTGTAAACAATCGCTCTATCTGGCTCGCGCGGCTCTCGGTCCCACCCTGACTCATCAGCGCTACCAAGCCGACCAATCACAGAGCTTGCACTACGCGTCGTTGCGATGTGTAGTTACATTTTTCAAGAGGTGCACGTCAGCGATGCCACGGCATAGGGCTATGGGTTAACGCGTAGGCTGCGTCGTAGCATACGCGTGCGCTTGACGCAGAAGTATAAATCAGCCTTAAAGCTCATTGTGCAAAATAATATCAATTATAATAATGTGTGTATCTATGTGAAATTATAGAGAAGTTATTGTTAATAATTTAGCAGGTACATGTAGCAGAGAATAAGTGTTGTTATTGTATTATTAACTAGCCAAAAATAAATTAGGAGACTCGTTTTTTTATTATTTTGTATTTGAGGGACACAAACAGTGTTCATTTCTGTAATAAAAATATACAGTTATTATATATATATATATGGGTTAATTCACTAAATAGTTCATAATGGTTATTTTACAGACAATTGTTCAAACAATTGACATTTAAATCTTAAAATTAAAGCTCAAATCAATATATAATAGTTAATAATAGTCAATAGTTTATCAATTAGCAGGTGCATGTAGCACAGAATGTGTTATTTTGTTAACTATTCAAAAATAAATTAAAAGACTCACTTTTTCTGTAGTGATCAGTATTACGTGACGCAGATTGTGAAAATTACCATTGCGCTCGTCTGAAAATTGCAACAAATTGGGCCAAACACGTCTTGAGCCTTGTACCGGGTGTATGATGGGGCCCTTTGTTGCAAAAGTTTTACACTTTGAACTCAAATCAATGTATAAACATCAAGATTATGATGCTTATCAATGTTAATAACACTTTATTCTGTAGGATTCGTGAATTGATCAAAAGAACCGTATTTATCTGCCTTACATATTTGTGTAATATTTTAATTATATAATTATTGATATGTAAAGCTAATGTTATGCATATTATTATTTTTTATCTTATTCTAAACGTAATAATTTGATAAACATAAATTTGTGCACAGAACTAAAGCAAGTATGCCTACCGATAATAATTGCAGATCTATTAGGAATAACACCTCCGAATGGAATTAAATAGGCACCCATAATTATAAAGAAACAGAAAGCTCATACAACAAATAAAAAACGATGAAAACATATGGAAAGTATTCTTAAGACTTAAAATAACTTTAAAAATAAATAAATAAATAAATAAAAATAAATAAATAAATATATATATATATATATATATATTCTGCAATAAATGTCCTGAAAGATGCATCTGTTTCACTCTTTTCAATCTTTTATCTGCTCCAGAATGGCATAATTAAAGGGTTTTTACGCGGACAGCTGCTGAAACACAATGAAACAAAAGGCGGTTTGATTACGTAACTTTCGCGCCACCGTCACCGCCCGCCTTTCCCTTTAAATCGATGTAAATGTAAACATTATGCGCGGGAGACGTTAAAGCTGCAGAAAGAGACCCTCACAAACCCCGCCTACACACTAAAAACCACCGCGTCTCATTGGACAGCAGCTACGTCAGTCAGAAAACCCGCGCTCTGCCATATTTAAAAAGTATATAGTGACCAGAAATCTTTTGCCAGTTGTGATTGGCTACTGTTCGCTGCGAGGATGTCACAGCGGTTGCCATTGGTTAGTTCTTTGAAGCGCTGTAACGTTCTTCTCTCCGATTGGCTACACAAACCCATCGGGCGCGATTTCCAACGCGGGAAAGTACCGGGTCACTGTAACAAGTGAGGCTGTCGGAGGAGCGGGATCAGAGAAGCTCTGCTACATGTAACTCCGGGAATGACTGACTTTACCACACTGCGGCAGGTTAACAGCGGATTACTCACGTTTTAAACGTTTTAATTTAATTCCAACGGTTTTTAGATTCAGTTTTTATCCGTTATGGCTGACAGCAAGCATCAGGTGATTTTCTGCAACGACTCGCCAAAAAGAGTTCTGGTGTCGGTTATTAAAACAACACCGATTAAACCGAGGACCACCGCGGACTCCCTGATGCCCACCAGCCCCGGTTTTAGCGACTTTATGGTGTACCCATGGCGCTGGGGCGAAAACGCGCATAATGTGACTTTGAGCCCCGGTTCAGGCAGCGGCGCCGCCTCGCCCACCCGAACCAGCAGCTCTCCAGCCGAAGCAGACCCGCTTTCCTGCCCGGAGCACCTAAAGGTGAGACACACGGATGCATTATGCTTCTTTAAACAGTCGAGAACTGTATTTATTAATCGTAACTAACTTATAAAGCAACCGATTTTGGTTTTCCGTTAGCAGAAGTGACTGTTACGTTAAAGCGCGCGCTCAGAACGGGATTTTAAATTCTCCATTGTGCGGCAGCTGGAAGTTAAACGTGACGTCAGATGTGCGCGCCAAAATGTTTCTTCTAGAAACTATTTTTTTTTCTCATAATGAGTGCTCGTGTTATTATAACACGTCAGTATTTACATTAGGCTGAATCAGATTTTATATTTGGGCTTTCTGCCTAATATAATTTCAGCTAGGCATTATTAGCAAATTATGTGTAGGGAAATTAATATTAGCAGTCGGTAACTATTAAATGAACGTTACATTGTTCACAGTCAATTAAACAGAGCTAATGTTGTTTTGAAGTCGTTTTTACATGCGAATTCACATTATATATTTAAAGTAGCGCTGCAAACAATATAGGAACCGTGTCACTGTTAAAACTGAATGATTGTGCGAATATAAAACCAATTTTACCTGAATAATAACATATAGATGTAAGTTATGTTTATTATATTGCAATAATAATCCTGATTATTTGATGTATAAGTGCATTAAATAGACATTTCTGGGACATTTATGTCATTTACTATTTATCATATTTACTATTTAACGGTTAAGCTTTTAACCTCTAAACAAACCATGATATTTTGAAGAATGTTGATAAAAATGATTGCAATTTAATTGCATACTAAGTAATTAATTCATAAGTTTTCAGCCATTTCAGTGTGAGTAATGAATTAATATAGTTTCATTTTTAGGCGTCCATTTAATGTAATTGTATATCATATGAAACACAAATGTATTGTATTAGTTGTAATTATTATGTCATACATAGAATGACGCTTTCATATTAAACTGTAGTGTTGCATTAATATATTTATATGAATCCAACAAATATATCAGACTTCAAACTATCAAAGTATTGCTTTAAGAGTATTATTTATAATATAGCTGTTTGATATTGTGCTGTTATTAATTTATAACTTACTGTATATCTAGTGAACATATTCATATTGAGTTTTGTTTATGGCTATTTGTGTGTAATTATAGAGAAGTAATTGTTAATAATTTAGCAGGTACATGTAGCAGAGAATTAGTGTAAATATTGTATTATGAACTATCCAAAAATAAATTTGAGATTTCTTTTTTTTGTATTTAAGGGAAACAAACAGTTAATTTCTGTAATAAATACAGCTCTTTCTTATTTATGAGGCTTAATTCACTGTAAATGGTTCATAATGGTTATTTTACAGACAATTGTTCAAATAATTGACATTTAAATCTTGAAATTTAAGCTCAAATCAATATATAATAGTCAAGAGTTAATCATTTAGTTGGTGCATGTAGCAGAGAATATGTTATTTGATTATTAACTATCCAAAACTAAATTAAGAGACTCACTTTTTCTGTATTTATCAGTATTAGGTATTCGTTTGTTTAAAAAAAAAATCCTTAACACCTCTCAAAATATCAAAAGTACTTTTTTTTATATTGTATAACAATGAATTATAAACCCAGAAAAGTTCATTAACAGTTCAATGTGTGAATGTAATCAGTTATGCAGACCTCAGGTCAGTAGTAAAGCAGACAGTCATGCCATTATTCAGTTCAGTCCAGTGTGTGTGGATCATTGTCATAAACACACTTGTTTTCTAATGCAGGATGGTATCCGGCGTGGCCGTCCGCGGGCCGACACCGTCCGGGAGCTGATCAACGAGGGGGAAAACTCCACCAGCCGCATCCGCTGCAACATCTGCAACCGCGTCTTTCCTCGAGAGAAGTCCCTGCAGGCCCACAAACGCACACACACCGGTCAGTGCTGCTCTCGCGAGTGACTCTGCAACCCAATACTGGGAAACACCCATACACACTCATTTACACACACTCTTACACTGTGGCCAATTTAGTTGATCAATTCCCCTGTAGCGCATGTGTTTGGACTGTGGGGTAAACCGGAGCACCCGGAGGAAACCCACGCCAACACAGGGAGACCATGCAAACTCCACATACAAATGCCAACTGACCCAGCCAGGACTTGAACTTGCAAATTTCTTGCTGTGAGGCCACAGTGCTAACCACTAAGCCACCGTGCCGCCCCTGCAATAATAATATCTCAGATGGAACCCCAAGATATTGTTGTGTTAGTTGTCGTCAATATGTTATTCAGGGCTGCACCGTCAAGAGAAGCAGGCGAGCACTGAAACTCCAGTGAAAATACTGTGGTAAAATACATTGATTATTACATTTACTTTAAACACATGGTACGATGTCATTTAATGCAGTGCTTCTTGTTTGGTGTCACATTTTTTATTATATCTTAAACAGGCAGTAAAGATTATTGATTTTAATCAAACTCGATGGTGAGTTTATAATGGCATGACGGTTAAGCAGAAATGACTAATCCGGCTATTTCCAAATTAAAAGTCCCACTACATATGGGTCATTATAATGAAGAGATCATGTGTGATCTATTTAAACATTCATGTGTTGACCATGGTTTGTTGCTTCTAGCATGTTGGACTCAAACTTGATTCTTGGAGGGCCGCAGCCCTGCACAGTTTTGCTCCAGCCCTAATCAAACACAGCTGATCTGACTAATCAAGGTGTTCAAGATTACTAGAGACCATTAAACCCCATTCACACGGGGCGTCAGCGTCAACGCTTCCCATTCGCTTTAAATGGGTGACGTCAGGCGTTGCCGAACTGCATTGTGGATCCGTTGGCGCCGCTTCAGAGGCGTTGCTCACTGCAAAAGTTGGGACTAGCTCAACTTTTCAAACGCCGACGAAAGCGTCAGCCAGTCAGATCACTGTATGCAAATACACCAGCTCAGAGAGTGGCCAATAGCTGACTAATTTCATTGGCTGACGCTGCCTCTGTCAAGCGTTGATGCTGAAGCCCCGTGTGATTGGGGCGTTAAGCAGGTGCAAGCTGGAGTGGGTTGAAACCAAACTATACAGAGCTGTGGCCCTCCAGGAATTGAGTTTAAGACCATTGGTTTATTGTAAGATAACTGCTGTTTAAATTTGGTGCTTTTGTTGTTGTTCCCATTTTGTTGCATGCACAATTGATGATTCCCTGTAAACCAATCATCATTCAGCAGAGTCTAGCTCCACCCTTTAGCACCTTTTGTTTAGGTTTCCTTGCTAGACCCGTCACAATAATCAATATATGTACCCATCACACAGCACATGGTCATGAGCTTAATCATTTTTGTTGGTGCAATATATATCGCCCATGCATAAAAACCAATTCTAGCTACATTTCAGCTAATTGTGCAACATCTCTATCTCTATTGGAGGTGTCAGTATGGGTAAAAACACTAGTATTTACTATAAATTACTGCAGTATATTTTAATGTGGCTGTCTGACAGCTGAAAATAGATCTGGTAGCAGATATCGCAGCCTCTGTTACTGTTTATCTTGCACTTTTTTGAAAACATTTATTATTATTTATTTAGGAGATGCATTTTCACATCCTCACTCCAATGCCTGATTATTAAACTGTTAAAATAACTAAATGAAATATTCTTAAGAATACAATATTATAAGTTCTTTGGATGAGTGTACTTGCATTGTGATGATATTGTCATTCTGACATTATACTGTATAATGAGTGGCATGTAATGGTCTTAAAATGACAATAATATGATTTATTGAATTATATTTTTGTGCAATAAATCATACAAAGAAAATAGATATCGTAACTGGCCCCCTTCTTATGAAAGGCTCTTGAAAAGTGGTACGGTTGACTATTTTGGTAGTCACAACTTCTCAGACAAAAAATTACAAACAATTCAATAAAAGGCAACTTGTAACAGCTAATAAGGAAGATAATTGGGAACTTTACAGTATTGCGTTTCCTTCCTTTTGAGCAACCATTGGATTAAAATGCCTTTTTTTAAATAATCTTAAATTTTTTTGTTTGAGAATTGTTAAATTGTTTTCATTTTTACCAAAAATTTATATTCGCATTTCCTCATTCTCCACTTGTTTAAAAGAGTTTCAAGTTTCTTTTTCTGTTGAACACAAAGGAAGAGGATATACTGAAGAATGATGGGAAAAAACAGCCAGTGACTGGATGCCGATAGCTGTTTTTTTCCAGCATTCTTCAGAATATCTTTTGTGTTCAACAAACAGAAAAAAACTCACAATTAAGTGGTTGTGAACTTTTATGAGTGAGTAAATGAGACTATTTTTGTGTAAACTGTTCCTTTAAAAAGACAGAAGAATGCAAGCATCTTTGCTTAATACAGCAATTAAAATCCAACAGACTTAAGAAAATGTTCTCAGCATGTGTGCTCACCTCTCTGTGTGTGTTTTTTTACAGGTGAACGGCCGTATCTGTGTGATTATCCAGACTGCGGTAAAGCATTCGTCCAGAGTGGTCAGCTGAAGACACACCAGCGTCTGCACACTGGAGAAAAGCCCTTTGTCTGCTCCGAGAAAGGTGAGCATGATAGGAAAACAACACTTGATCCATCAGCCAATCAGGATTGACTGTTTTTTTTTTAGGAGTCATTCACGCAGACATGCATTCACCTCCTCACTCTGTCATGAAGGGTCACATTAATCATATACATGAAATCCTTTTTGAATTAAATGCTGTAAACATGTTTAACCATTTTAACATTAGAGTCAATAGAATCTTGCTCTGTTTTGGAGCCGACCCCCAGTGGCCAGCTGATGAATTGCAGCTTCAGTCTCTCAGCCTCTGGTTTCTAAATGCACAGGTTTCTTAGATGCTTATTTCTGCTGTGTTTCTTGGTGTTTTAGCTTGCGGGAGCCGCTTTACTCATGCTAACCGTCACTGCGCGAAACACCCGTACGCCAGGCTGAAGCGTGAGGAGCCGACCGGCGGCCCCGGGAAATCACAGGGAGCCGATAACAAGGCTGTTGCAGAATGGCTGACAAAGTGAGAAAAGCAAAAACACTCAAACTCTTGATGAAGACATGCGACGCATTGATGTTTCAGTCTATTAATGTAATTATGCACACAATTATGCATGAGATGATTTTTTGAAAATAAGCTGACGAATAATATTTTTATAACTGAGGCCAAGAGAATGCAATTGTAAATAATTTGTAATAATCTATAAAAATCTATCGGCAGATTGTATCATGAATGGATAGATATTGCAGCACAATATGAATATTTCTATATCCTGATCATATAAAGTGATGCTTGTTTTTGTTCAGATTTTCAAAACTTTATTTATTATTTGTCTGGAACTTGAACTTTTTAATCAACGCAGTTTGAGTAAACTCTGAAACACGAGTTAAACTCCAAAAGTCCATTATTTTTATTTATTTTTATTCAACCAATAACTTTTGTTCAATCCAGGCCAGACTTTTGAAGTCTTCATTTGTTTTTTACATAAAATCAAACGAAAATGAGAATTATTTTAGTATGAGGGCAACAAGCTGAAACGATGTTTATGGTTTTTAATATTTTCCTTGCCAGTTAGCTTGTGTATATATATATATATTAGTTTTTAAATGGCATATGTTTACTGTTTATATATATATATATATATATATATATATATATATATATATATATATATATATATATATGTGTGTGTGTGTGTATTATGCTTGTATAAATACACACATGCATGCACACGTTTAAGAAAATGTTTAATTAAATTTTAATATAAAAATATTCTTATAAATCTATGGAACTTTTTTTTTGTTTCTACAGTGCAACAGGGAAGTGTTGATAGTGCTTCCCTTTTTCCACATTTGTTTTTGTTACAGTCTTATTCCAAAATGGATTAAATTGATTAAATCAATTTAATCCATTTTGGAATAAGACTAACATAAAAACGTGGATAAAGTGAAGCGCTATCAACACTTTACAGATGCGCTGTATATATAATGCAATTAATCTTTGGCTAGTACTTGTGTATCTATATATTTATGCCGTTCGCTGACTTAATGGTGTGTTCGTCAGATATTGGCAGACACGTGAGCAGCGTTCGCCTGTACCGGGCAAAGCAAAGCCTCAAAACAAGAGTCCCCTGGAGGACCAGGAGCAGCAGGACCCGCTTGACTTCCTGCCATCCGATGAAGGAGAAGAAGAAGAGCAAGAGGAGGAGAAGAGCGCCCCCTCTGGCGGAGTAGTGACGGCGCGCCGGCGTCTGCAGGAGCAGAGGGAGCGTCTGCACGGAGCGCTAGCACTCATCGAGCTCGCTAACAACCTGTCGGCCTGAGACACTCGTCAGCTCCAGACATGTGGATATAAGCTACAAGCACCTTATTTCGCTTCCTTATTTCGTACCTTTAGGCTGCTATGATGGTAGATGATATCATTATATGAATGAAGAATGTCGTTTGCTCTTGTTCAGGAGATATTCCTGGAGACGTTCCTTTTGTTTCGTTGTGCACTTTGTGGACATGAGTGTGTGTTTGGGGATTGTGGGTGGATTTGTGTGTGGATTTTAGTGTTCGTATGTGTGTGTGTGTGTGTGTGTGTGTGTTTGTACGTGTGTGAGAAGACTTATGACTAGCAGGAGACCCGCTTTTGCTTTCCCTACGCAGACACCCGCATTAGTCCCGGCGCTTCCATCACTCGCTCGTGTTTAATCATGTATTTATTCTATTTAAAGCAGTGTTGAGCGCCACCTGCTGGCGGCTGTAGGACTCAGGCTTTGCAATCAAACTAACCAGCTTTAAAAGGCATCTCTTAAGGGTACACGCGTGTGTAGTAGTAGTGTTGTTGAAAAGGACTGATATAGGTAGTAATCAATACTGAACATTTCTAAATATTTTGAGTGGATGTTTAAAGCGTCGCTGATTGGCTGGTGTGTTTATATGCTCTGCAGAAATGACTGTGATTGGCTGCACTGAAGTCAGTATAGCCAACCACGGTCATTTGTGTTGAGCATTGGAATACAGTGCACAATCAGGAATTTTTAAAGTGACAGTACACATAAAAATGACAATTCTGTCTTCAGTTACTCTCCAAGTAAACATTTTTAACTCGTATAATTTCTTTGTTTTGTTGAAGATGAAGGAAATACTTGGGAGAATGTCAGTATCCATACGGACACATTTACTGCCATACTTATTTTTCCTGCCGTGATACTAAATAGGTAGCGAGATCTGGTTGTTTACTGACATTCCACCAAATATCTTATTTTTTCCCATCCAGAACAAAGAGTTTAAAACAACCTGAAGGTGAAAATGATTGTAGAATTAAAATGTTTGGGTGTACTATCTGATTGGCTTCAATGACAAATGGTGACAGATTTGTTTGTGTACTGTCCCTTTAAACGCCCCTAATTGTCTACAATAACAGTAAATGATGACAAGATTGTATTTTTTTGTGTACTGTCCCTTTAAACACCTCTGATTGCCTGTTTTATTGCCATGTGACTTATTGGCACCAATGAGAGTAAATGGTGACAGAATATTCATTTTATTTGGTGTTCTGTCCTTTAAGACACCTGATTGGCTACAGTGACAGTAAATGATGACATCATCAATTACATCATCATTCAATTCTTTTATGGTGTACTGTTTTTTTTTAAATGCCTTTTATTGGCTGTTGTGTGGTCACATGACTGGTTGTCTACAGTGACAGTAATCGATGACATGATTTTCATTTTTTGGTGTACTGTCCCTTTAAACCCCTTTGAATGGCTACAGTGATGGTAAATTTACATTTTTTTGTATGCACTGTTCCTTTAAACACCTCTAAATGGCTGTTTTATTGTCACATGACTGGCACCACTGAGGGTAAATGATGACTAGTTTCATTTTTGGTGTACGGTCCCTTTTAAATCCTTCTGATTGGCAACAATGACAGTAAATTGACATAATTTTTAATATTTTGTTTGCACTGTCTCTTTAAACACCTCTGATTGGCTAAAGTGACAGTAAATGATGACGTCATTTTAATATTTTTTGATGTACTGTCCCTTTAAACACCTCTGATTGGCTACAGTGACAGTAAATAATGACGTCATTTTAATATTTTTAATGTACTGTCCCTTTAAACACCTCTGATTGGCTACAGTGACAGTAAATGATGACATCATTTTAATATTTTTAATGTACTGTCCCTTTAAACACCTGATTGGCTAGTGCTGGTAAACAATGACATCATTTTAATTGTTTGTGAGTACTGTCCTTTTAAACACCTGATTGGCTACAGTGACAGTAAATGATGACATCATTTTAATATTTTTAATGTACTGTCCCTTTAAACACCTTTGATTGGCTAGTGACTGTAAACAATGACATTTAAATGTTTTGCATGTACTGTCCCTTTAAGAATCCACTCAAAATGCCAGCATGAAATCTGGTAGTGTCCCATTTTTACAGTTTCAGTATTGGTTAGTACCAAATTCAGTACTTCAGACGACTCTATGTAGTAGTGTATAGATTGACAGTGGAAAGCTGATAAACTGAAGCACTTACCATATTAATCTCTCACTTCAGTAGCTCTTATTTCCAAAGAGAAGTGATGGAAAAAGAGTCTGGATGGATCTCGACGGCACTTGTTTCACCAGTTCATCATTCGTAACACTACATTCTGTTCATTGTTCAATTTGCATCAAGAATTAATTCGGCCTCAAAAACTGGAAAGGTGCGTTTCTGACGAGGTCGGGGATGTTTCTGCGTGGCGTCGAGTTTTTATGTCCATTTTATAGCTGAAAATAATATATTTCCCCCCTGAATTGTTGGAGAAGATCAATGTTTAGCCGCGACAACAGAATGTAATCAAGTGTTTTATTTGGAGATCTTCTGTTCGACTTTGTACATGTGTAAGCGGGCTTTTTCATCATAGTGTTAGCACTTCAAGTCTTCAATAAATGATATAAATCCTGCTTGGTCCTCAGGTTTGCTTTATTTTAATAAGTTATAAAATGTGTAACATGAAACAGTACACCGGTCAAAACAGTTAAGACTAGTACCATTTTTTATGTTTTTATTTCTTTTCTGGTCACCGAACCTGCATTCATTTGATCTAGAGTAAAGCTTAATGTACATTGTTAAACATATTTTTAATATTTAAATAACTATTATAATAACTATATTTAAAATGTCTTTTTGAGTATATATGTTAACGTTTATTTTTGGTTTCAAATCTGAATTTTTTTGCATAATTCTTACTGTTTAAAATATTTTTCTATTTAAATATTTTTTAAATGTCATACATTTCCATGATTTCAAAATCTAATTTTCCAAAATCATATTTTTACAAAATATCAGCCATATATATATATATATTAAAATATAAAATACATTTACATATATTTAAAAATGTAACTTTCTGATTTCAAAACTGGATTTTTAGCATGTGATATTGGAATATATTTTAAAAGTTAATTTTTAAACAATTTATATATATATATATTAGGGTTGTAACGGTATGAATTTTTCACGGTATGATAATCGTCTAAAACAATACCACGGTTTGACGGTTTCGCGGTATGTTACAAATGTTACAAAATAATAGAACAGTGAAGCAAATTTGACTTTTTCCAAATAATATATTTTTAGTTACTATAAACAACACCACTTACAATGAACAAATAAAAATAAGAAAATAATAAATAATGTGTCAAAGTCCAAATAATGTCCAAATAAACATGGTGCAAATCCTCAGTAAAAAATAGATATAAATATTTACTATACTATAAATAGTTACATAACGAAACTAGATTCAATATGGAACATCCTTAGGTTTTATGTGCCAGCATGGATATGGTTGTCTATCGATATGGATTTGGATATGGTTGTTTGCAATGCAGACAAACAGCTGCACCTTCATTTGCGTCTTTTGAATACAGCAAGAGCAGCAGTTCGTCTTTGCTGTGTCACTGTTTTGTCATGTTTCTGTGCTGCTGTGCATGCAAAAGTACTTAGTATGAGAATTATTTCATGCAAAACTTTTTTTTTTTTTGCGTTTTATTTAGCCGCGCAGAAATGTATGCCTATCTCTCATTCCGTGTTGTTCAAAAAGCTTGGTCCACAAACAAAAGCGAAACCTATGCTTATTGGTTGTGATATAGCGAGTTTGAACCAATCTGGGCATGGAGGAGGGACAATGCATCAATGTATCGTGTCTGATTTGTCCGGAGACACAGTGACGAGCGTTTCTTTGTCAAATCAGCGTTGTCAAATGTTGATGACATAACCGCACTGATTCCGGAGCCTCTGAAAGTCCGCGAATGTTATGTGATACATCACTGGAAAGCTGAGATTCTCTTCTTTATGCCAATCTTTGAATTGTATGAATCAGATCAGCGGATCAAAAGTTTTTAAACATTTAAGAGCTATACTTATTTTTAGCCGCGGGCGGCTGTCTCGGTCTTTAAGGGTTAAACCGTTGATATGCAATTGTTCATGGTATGATAATCGTGCACGTTCAAATCGTGGTAGACCGTCATACCGGTATATTGTTACAACCCTAATATATATATATATATATATATATATATATATATATATATATATATATATACACACAAGGGCTTTACATTAACACCCGCCAATTGCAAGTAGATTTCAGCTTTGGCGTATTAGACAGCCAATCCCACTAGCCACTTTGGCTGGTTGAAAATAATTTTTAAAATGTAGTCTTTCTAAAAGCAGAGTTCAACAATATAAGGATGGTCCAAAATGCGTGCAAATGTGATCGTAGAATCGAGAAGTAAAATAATTGTTCACGCGAGCAGAAGAAAGCAAGTGAATACTGAATGAGAGGATGATGATCACTCGTGCTAACAGCTGATGTGATGTGTGCCACTTCTTAAAGCACGTGCGCGCTTCCGAATCGTGTAGCAAACGTGTCTGAAACAGGTTCTGGAAACGCAACTGTCATCGGTTCTCTTTCAAATAAACTAGACAAATAGTGATGAACATGCCTCCACAGTCCTGATGCTTTTAAGAGCTCAAAATGTGTCTTTTTGTAAGCAGCAGCGGTTGCTTTCACTTTAAACAGATTATTAAATGGCCTAAAGTTAACCGTGAGCATGTGATCATCCTTTTATTATCACATACGCTATGTTTTACCCTCTTTCATTTGCTTACGGTTTTATTTGCTTTTATTTTTGTTAAAATGGTTTAATTATCGTTTTTTTACAACATTGCTTTAATGGGAGATGAACTCTCCATTTATGTGCAGTTACTGGTGATCCGAGAGATCTTTAGCCACAACAGATTACCGTGCTTATCTTTGAGACATGACAATAGTTATTTTTTAAAAGTCAATTGCTTTTCTTTCTTTAAGAAATGTTTTGTTACATAAAAAGTATAGTATACAGCTATATTTTGCTTGTTTTGACACATAAAAAATTTGTGGCTAAGTAATAATTATTGTTTAGTGTGGTTATTGAGATAAATTTGGTAAATCGTTAATTTTGAGCTCTAAAAAAAGCATTGTGAAATAAAAACTAATTGCAGTATAACACTATGAAACCATGACCCATTTGCTCATGCTCATTGAGCAAGCTCATACTCGACACACAAAAAGTGAAATGAATGAGGACACATGTGGACATAACACACAATTTAAATCAAGTAATTTTAGCGTGTAAACGTCAAATTTATGCATGTCAAATATATTTTCCCAACAACAAAATTGTGGCTAGTGAAAATGCAGCGTGGCTAGTAACATTGGAAAACTACTAGCCACAGTGGCCGGTGATTAAAAAAGTTAATATAAAGGCCTGTATATATATATATATATATATATATATATATATGGATTTTTGTTTTTAGATATATATTTATATAGAGCGCTGTCACTCCCTGCTCTATCTCTAGTAGGAGTGTTCCTCGAGCATTGACTCACGCAAGAGTCTCGCCTAACTTGACACTCACCCTCTAGCTGAAATCTCCATCGCCCAAACTGGTACAGCATGCCAAATCTGCTATAAATGCTATGAATTCATTCATTCATTTTCTTTTTGACTTAGTCCCTTTATTAATCTGGGGTCACCACAGCAGAATGAACCGCCAACTTATCCAGCATATGTTTTACACAGCGGATGTCCTTCCAGCCGCAACCCATCACTGGGAAACATCCACACACATCATATACTATGGACAATTTAGCCTACCCAATTCACCTGTACCGCATGTCTTTGGACTGTGGGGGAAACCCATGCAAACACACAGCACTATCTACTGCGCCACTGCATTGCCCCAATAAATTACTTTTTAAAATATATTAAAATAAAAAAAATACTTATGTTCAAAATATTTCAGATTTGTACTATTTGTGCAGTACTTCAGATCTAATAAATGCAGATGAGACTTATATAAAAACATGAATAATGGTACTAATCCAGAAGTGTTTAACGGTAGTAAGTATGTAAACGACTGAAGCAGCGATTCCTTCAGCACAAACACAAACACTGCCTTCAGGAAAACACTGCCGTTTGATCTGTGTGTGGGTTTGAGCACTGACAGTCATGTTTTCAGCAGAGTGTTCTCTGTAATATGAACCGTTATTTTCTCCTCTGCTGGTTTTGTGTTGGTTTCTGCAGAGCTTAATGTGATGTAGGAATAAACTAACCCAGCCGAGATGCTGAAAACAGAAAAACACAATGAAAAACATTCAGAAGTAACTGTACATTCAGACTTTAAGGAGGTCAAATAAATTGGTAACACTTTAAAATAACGGTCTGTTAGTTTACTTATATTAACTGATTATGAATATTCTCTGACAGCATTTATGTCACGATTACCAGCGATCGTACTTCATAAGATCGCTGCATCTCACAATAACTTATGGACTACAAATCCGCCATTTCTGGACTACATTTTCATACATGCACTCCTCTAACATTCACACATGCTTCCTCATCTAGACTGATTACACTCGCACCACCTGAGCATTGTCGGAGACTGATTACACACACTATTTAAGCAGCACACACACTCACTCCCATTGCTGAGTCTTGTTAGCTGTAAAGTGACATTACAACGTGTTATCATCGGCTGCGTCCGAATTCGCCTACTACTCAGTAGGTACTGCATTTGAATTTAAACGTATTACTCGGCCATTAGAAAAGTACGTTCTATACAGTATGAATGTGAAAAGTATGAATGGAATTCGGACGTACTACATCCGTCATTTTGTCATGGTCACATGACCTACCTGCGTCAGTTGTGAAGCTTCACTTCCATTCATGAATTCTCTAGCGGGGCATCATGGGATAGCGCAGCGTGCATGGGATGCGCACTCCAGAATCTCGCCGGAAGTCCTCCGGGTACTTCTCGCATACTGATTTTCCAATTCTAAGAATTCGGACATACTACTCGGCTCGCATACTGATTTTAGCGTACTATATAGTATGGAAGTATGCACTTTCGGACGCAGCCCTTGTCTTGTTTTCCTGTGTTTAGACCTTAACCTTGTTAGCCGTTTGTCCTAGTCTGCCACCTGCCTTATGACCTCTCGCCTGTTATCTGATTACGATTCTGGACTGCCTCTATACATCTGTTCGCACCCGTATTGACCATTGCTTGCCTGACTATCCAAATAAACCTGCAAGTGAATCCAAACTCAGTTGTCTATTTGTTTCCCCGTGTTACAATTTATCAATCATAGTTCCACATGTATTAATGCATTGTTAAAATCGTGCTTGTTTACATTAGTACACGTTAACTCACGTTAATTAACTTCATGTTATCTAACGGGAATATGAAAGAGCACTGTAATAAATCTATTACTTATGTTTGTTTGTGTTAGCAGTGTTTCCTCTAGGATTTTTTCCAGCTGTGGGGGCAGGCCTTTTTATTTTACACAGATCTACCAACTACCTGTGGCGTTATTTCAATGACAAATGTCGTGAGCGCAAGAAGTTGAGATTGT